CCCAACAATCACCACAATCCAACTTTTTGCTCCTCTCAAAAACGTGTTGCAGTTTTATTTATCAAGGAGTGGAATCCTACATGATTTGTGTTGTAAAACTCTACACTGGGGGTTTTGTTGCAGCAACTTTTAAGGGTTGACTCCATCTGGATACTTTGGCTATTGTGCTGGTTGTCAGGCTAATGCTCACCAGTCGTGTTGGGTTCATGGTGTTAACACTGGATTAAGGTGAACCATTGCACTGTACTGTATTAGGCTAAATAAAGATTTCAATCCCTTTATAAATAGCTTGTATGGTCCTTACTCTTTGGGTGCCGTAAACAGGATTGAGATTTGTTTGTGTGCGGCACTAAACCGGGCAACGAGTGACATAAGTTGCCTGATCTATAAACAGGATATTCAGTTTAAAACGGCCTTCTGGTGACCGACACTTTGAGCCGCTGGCCTATTCAGGGTGCATCATGTCATGCATGTCTAAACACTGGACATACAGAGTGAATATATGGTATGATTAAACAAGCAAAAAAATTCACTGGTCGCATGTGCACAAGTTTAATCTTTAATTTGTATCATGACCCATATCGGCATCAAAATTCAATTTTGTGACGGACAATCATGGGATACTCACAGCCATCTATCTATACATCTCTATAGCTCTGTATATACGTATATGTATATATACAGTATGTGTGTTCTTTCAGTGATTGTCCAGCAGATGGCCCTAAGAATGTGACGCATGTTTCTTTATACACAGTGACTGTCCTCGCGCTTGTATAAAACCGTCCAACTTTACAGCACACAGCAGCTTCTTTAAATGGTCAAAATGAACTGTCTGCTGCATACACCCACCAATTTCTGAGTGAGTCTAGATCAGTGGACCTGTGGGTCAGAGAGGACCCTTTGAAAGGGTCGCAAGATAATTCGTGGAACATGAAAATATTGTTCTGCGTCATTTCTCTGAGCTCTTTTTAATTTGAAACAGCGGAAAGTTTTACCTCCTCGGGCCTCTATTAAATATTCAGGTTTTAAGCAGAAAATCCTTTTGGGTTCGCAAGTCGTTGACACATTCAACCTGAGATGAGGGTAAACAAGTGCTGCGTCATTGTGTGCCGAGGCCTAACCTCCCTGGGTCACATGCGGATGGGGACCCCTGTTCCATGTCATTCCCTATCTTTCTGTCCCCTTCTTTCATTTCATCTCTTTACATTTGGCTGTCTAAAAGAGGCATAAACACGCTAGTGGCGATGCTCTCACCCCCACAGCAGTGAGGAACGTTGTACCTGACAAGAGTGTGTCACAGTTGCTGTCACACCTACTGTTCAACAGTTAACAAAGCCTCAACTCGGTGCACCTGAGCTGCAATAGCTTCTATCTTCTATTTAACCGTCCTGGGATGCTTAAATGACCTCCTCATTTGACTCCTCTTGTCAGAGCTTTGATCCTGAAGGGGAACACAGTAGAACAAACTAAATAAACACTGTCATTCATACGCTTAACTACATACATACACTTCAGATACCAGAAACAGGCAGCGGGAGGCTGTCGACCAAATTATTGCTACTCTGTTATTTAGACTCCTCCCATTGGTTAAAGAAAACTAAATGTCTGTGGACCTTTTCCTCTTCTTTAATGCTTAAGTAAACCAAATAACAGCACATTCTCTCCAATTATTCCTCAACTATTCTTAAAGAGGCCTGATGTCAAACAGAAGCGGCACAAGCAGCCATGAGAGCTCAGTGGAGGCAGTGCAGGTGGAGGATGAGGCTGCTGAGTCATCTGCAGACAAAGCATGCAGCAAGGCGACACCAGACAGTATAATGATGCATAATGAAGCAGGGGGAGGAAGACTGATGCCAATCAATTCATCGAGATCAAACATTCTCTACTTAATGCTATTATGATGCTAATTCAACAACATAACCAGATAGTGAATATCAACATTTGTATCTAGCTGCTTAAAATATTGTGTTGCTTGGTACTATACATACATACTATGACTTTTAAAAAACCTTTTTGACATACTATACTTTGACTTATTTCGACATACTATACTATGACTTTTTATGACATTCTATATATTTACCTTTTATGAAATTTATGAATTACGATACTATGACTTTTTCTTTTTTTTTCCGACATATTATACCATTTCGAAAAGTCAAAAAATGACCTTTTCTTTGACCTCTAGAAAACGTCATGGGGTCAAGGAAATATGTGGAGGAGAAATCATGAGGAGTTAGGAAAGGACGACCGTGGTGTTTAGAGAATGTGACTACAGTTTCACTAAGCTACGTGATTATAATGTGACGGCGGATGTCACTGACGTAGGTCTGCCACGGCAAAACTACAGCGAAGAAGGACAACCATAACCGTAGTGCATTAAATCTATTGCAGAAATGCATGTAGGCTTTATAAACAGCTTCTTTTGTAAGAGGGTGCTTCACTCGTGTGTGAAAGAGAGAAACCAGAGGTCTTTCCTTCCTGCTGCTGTAACACTTAACAATCAATACTGGATGCTTCTTGTTATTGAGAATGAGAATTTGTTCATTGACAGTTTGCTAAATTTACTGTTCATTTGATTTTGTATTCTTGTTTTGTTTTTTGTACTTATTTGTTACATGTTCAAAGTAAATAAATACATGTAAAATAAAACGAAAGGATTGCCACTGTCTATTCATATTCATCAACATGAATCTGTATGAAAATAATTGTTAAACGTGCAAGATAAGCATATCGTTTTCATATGCCTTATCTGACCTCAGCATCACCAGCCCTCGATTGTCTTCCTTCAGGATGGAGTCCAATCGCCAAAGACGTTGCACTATTTTTTCAACATGCTATACTATGACTTTTTTT